TACATATAAACTTCAAATCGAGGCTGGGGAAGGTCACATGACCAGGCAGATTGATGGCACTACCCATTGTCACTAAGCTCAGAGCAGCCCTCAGTATGTGCAGCATCCTTCTCTTCCTGTCTACCTTTTCTCCCTCTCATATCCAGGACTATTTTAAACTTCCTTTACTCTCTTCAAATATCGAACCCCCATTAGCCTCCTCTAAGCAAATGACCTCATACCTTTTTTTCACTGAGAAAATTGTAGCCATCAGAAGGAATCTCTCTTAACCTCTTCATCTCAAAACTAAAATCTGTCTACATTTGTACTGATTATCTCCTTTTCTTTTTTTATTTCATTAGGGTAGTAGTTTTAAACTTTGGCTGCACATTGACAGCATGTGGAGAGCTTTAAAAATACTTGTGCTTGGGCTCAAAAAACCAGAGATGATGATTTAATTGGTCTGGGTTGGAATTTGGGTTGAGAACCCATTATTAGAGAAATTTTTCTCTCTCCTGTTGCAGAGGAGTCATGAACAAGTATTTAGGTTCCATCTTCTCATACTGTATGCTGAAATTTATCTATCCCCTCTTCTCTGTATGTATTCATTTCTTCTCAATATGTTCTTCCCATGGGCTTTTCGATTTATTCAATACTTTTTCATCTTACAAACCAAACCAAATGAAACCAATCGACCAACCAATCAACAAACCAACAAACAAATCCCAAACCACAGATTTCTCCTTCACACTTGTGACAGTTTTTTGTGTCAACTTGGCTAGGCAATATTACTTATCATAACTATTCAGTCAAATATTACTGTAGGTGTTGTCGTGAAGATATTTTTAAAGATGTGATTAACATCTCTAATCAGTCAATTTTAAGTAAGGAGATTATCCTCAATAATGTAGGTGGTCTTGATCTGATCGGGTGAAAGGTCGTGGAAGCAGAACTGAGTTTTTCAAAACAGAGAAATTCTATCTGTGGACTGTAGTGTTGGCTCCTGCTTGAGTTTCCAGCCTACTCTTGATACAAAACCCAAGTGTCTAAATAGAATCGAATACTTGTTAGTTCATTTTTAAAAACTAATCATTCCACTGAAACAACCTCCTCCGGCTTATAATTAACTTTGACCAAACACATTTTCCACTCTTTTTTTGGTAAAGTTTAATTGCTCTTAACTGTTACTTATTCTTGCTTCTTTAAAAAAATTTTTTTAAATTGTGAAAAATAAAATACTTAGAAGAGTGTATAGTGTAAAGAACAATTATTAAACAGATATTTATGTAATTACCATCCAGATTAAGAAATAGGGAGTTGCTATTGTCTAGGGAGTTTCCTAAATATTCTTTCCAATCACATCTATTTTATTTCCCCATCAGGTAACCTGTTCTTTCTTCTGTGATAATCACTCCCTTAATTTTTTTTTTCTTTTTCTTTTTCTTTGGCAGCTGGCTGGTACTGGGATTGAACCTTGGACATTGGCATTATCAGCACCATGGTCTAACCAACTGAGCTAACTGGCTAACCCTCCCCTAATTTTCTTAATAGTTATTAGAACCACACTGCATTTTTTGTGTCATGTTACTTTTTCTCCAAGTATTTATGAAATTCATTCATATTGATATTGATATGAATAGCTCGTGTTTATTCATTTTTATTGTCCTTTTTTCTTGCATTAATATAATACAAAATATTTACCCATTTTATTATTGATAGTTTTTGGGTTGTTTTGAATTTGGAACTATAGTGAATGATACTGATATAAATAAAATTGCAAGGATTATATTCAAAATATTTAATGATGGCAGGGTCACATATTAATCCTAACAGTTGCCAAACCCATCTGAAGGCAGGCCTGACCAACCAGGATGGAACGTCTCCAGTACACTGTTCCAGTTTGTGATGGATCAATAAGCACCTAGCATACTTGGACATGTCTCCCCATGCACATGTTCAAGAGTTTTTCTGATATCTGCAACTAAAAAAGGAATTATTGAATTGTAGGATTTGGAAATTTTCAGCTTTACAGGGTAATTTCAAGCTATTTTAAAATATCGTTGTACCAATTTATACTTATATCAATTTACTCTTACATCAGAATAACATTGCTAACATTTGACTTGCCCAGAATAGGTTTTTACCACTGTCTCACTATAGTTTAAACTGTACTTCAATTAACCTTAAAACTAATGAGGCTGAACATTCATTTATATGTTTATTAACCATTTGAATTTCTTCTCATTTAAAGTATCTGTTCAAGTGTTTTTTCTAGGTTTCTATTGCATTGGTTTTCTTTGTCCTCCGACTTGTCAGTGTTATTTGTGTGTTCTTGATACTAGTCCCTTACCTCCGTTTTACAAGTACATGAAGTCTGCTGGTCTCACTATTTGGTTCCATTGTTTGACTTATCTGTCCTGCATCAGTACTGTATTCTTGATTTCTGTACTTTCATGAATCTTGGTATCTGTTAGAAAGTAGTCTTCTATCTTGTTCCTCTCAAGTGTGCTTTGATTTTCTTTGCCTTTTGAACTTCAGCATAAATTTTATAACTTGCTTGTCAAATTCCACACATATTTACAAAACTTGATTACATTCAATCCATGGATTTGTGATTTGAGAATAGTTGAGTATCACTACAATATTAAAATTTTCAATTAATGTATATTGTATTTAGGTCTTATTTAATATCCCTTAATATAATTTAATTTTATTTGTAGAGGTCTTGAACATTATTTTTACCTAGGCATTTGACACCTTTAATGCTAGTAAAGATTATGTCTTGAAAATTTCATTTTCTTAAGCATTTCTTGTTCATAGAGAAGAAACTTGTTGCTGTATATTTTTTATGTCTAGTAAACTTAACAACCACTCATGTATTCTGAAACAAATTGTTGATTGTTTTGGATTTTCTACACACAAAGACATACAATCTACAAATAATTATTATTTTCTCTTCCTTTCTACTTCTTGCTCTTTTATTTGCATTTTTATTTCCCTTGACACATAGCCCGGAACTCTGGTAACAACATTGAATAGAAATGGTAATAATAGGCATACTTGCTTTGTTTCTGGTCTCAAAAGAAACACCTTCAACACTTCACCAACATGTTAAGTTTTTTAGGTTGAAAAGATAAAGAAGTACTGTTCCATTCCAAATGTGCTATAAAATGTTGTATCCATTATAAATGGACTTTAAATCTCATTAAATATTTCCCAGTATCTTATAACTTATTAATTCCATTCCAATATGAAAATAATCTTGTATAACTGGGATAGTTCAACTTGCTCACAATTTTTTTCATTTTTATACATCACAGGATTGCTGTGTTAATTTTTGGCTTCAGATCCTGGCATCTATGTTAATTTCTCATACTTGATAATGGTAACTTGGTCTTCTTTCTCTTTTGATTGCTACAGATTTGTTAATTTTATTAATCTTTTCAAAGAATAAAATTGTTGGAAGTTTACTTTTTACTGAATAATCCATGGAAATATTCCATACATTTTATGAATAATAAAATAAAAACCAAAATAATATAAAAATTAAGTTTTAGTTAGAAAATATTTTGACATTTTTGGAATCATTGTTCTGTTAGTACTTTTTAATAGATAACTCTTTTGATTCAATCTGCTAAAAAATCTTTATAGATTTGAGGCAGTTTTGGCTTTTAATACCTAGATTATAAATAATCAAAAAGTCAAATTCATTAATCATTCATCTTTTTAAGATCTTTTAGGTCTGGCATTACCTTCATAAAGACATGCTTCAAGATATTTAAAGATATGTTTCAAGACATACTTTACCTAAAAATGCCCTTAAAATTTTACCATAAGCATATTACATAAAAGTTGATCAATCAGTGTCAATGAATTCCTAAATTTATTTCATAGACATGGGTGGAGATAAAAATAAAAATTCAGATTAATTAGATTTTCTATACAGTTTTAAAATTAAAAAAATGGTATAAATGAATATAGTAAACATGGAAGTCCACTCAGAGATGCCTCCACTGGCCAAAAAGGGTGAATCTGAACATTATTAAGAATAATAGCTTCAAAGAATTAAAATGATCAAATATGTTTCAAAACCTGGTTTTATAATAATACTAAAAATAAAAACATAAACTAATTGGTCATCTTCAAAGGACGATAGGAAATTATCTATTATTCTGAAATATGGTAAGTAAAGGAAAATTATCCAGCTTTCTCTGCCTTTATCCTAACTTTCTTGTACGAACTGTACCACTGGTAACCAAACATTGGTTGACGGGAAGTTAATCTTATAAATATTTCAAGAAGAAATAATTATTGAATTAGAATATCACCATTTTCTAGTATCTGATTAATTAATGGTTCTATTCTATGTATTGAGCATCAGGGGTAAGAAACAGAACAAAATTAGAGACAGCCGGACACTATGTGCCTCCTAATGGAAGAATACAACTTGTGACAAAGAGATTGAACATGAATCAGATCGAGCTTATACAGCAAAATACCAATTACAGGCAATACAGAGGTAGAGGAACCCTACAGATAAAGAGAGGAGTTTTCTTCAAAAAATAAGATTCATCCAAAATGGAGGAAGGGGGAGGAAAATATATAGATTGACAGAAGCTTAAAAAACATATTAAAAATAAAACAGGAAAACTACAGCAGTGTTTAGGGGGCAGATGTGAGTGATACACCAGGAAATAATTATTATCAAAATTCTGATAGTGGTTACACTTAGGAGATGGGAGGGGGTTGTGATAGGGGTGGGTTAAAAGGAGAACTTATGAGATGGCTGGCAAAGATCAATTTCTTGACCTGGGTGCCATTTATAAAAGTGTCTGACATAATAATTCATTAAGTTTTATATTTGTTTCATTCTGTGTTCTCGTATCTGTGCTATATTTAAAATATATATTTTTTAACTGGGTGAGTGAATGTATGACACAATTTTCAGAGAAAGTGTTCTGAAAAGTTCAATTTCTATATTCAGTATCATTTTTTCGAGTTGATAAACACAAAAGTCAAAGTTGATATTTTCAATATTTATTAGTAAGGCTGAGGCAGCAGCCTTTATACAGCACAATTTACATAAGTTATCAAGATACATCTTGTATACAATCACAAAACCAAGACATATTTTTACATAAAGTTAAACTCAAGACAGATTTACAAGCATTTTTTTTTTTATACAATTCTCATGTATTTTCAGGTCAATTTATACAATATTTAGCTCAAGAATTTGCAATTGTTCAATAGATTTTCCAGAAATATTTGGGTAAAACAAAAAAAAGGAACATATTAGCAAATTACCAACATAGCATGCAACATATAGTCAGAAACAAGCCATATCTCCAAGTTTATTTTTTAAATTTTGAAATCAATTTTTATTGTTTTTATTTTTTCAGACAAGAAAAAATTCTTTCTTTACCATCAGATGTGTTGTTAGGATATTAGCACACACATTAATCAGTAGTAGGAGCACCTGATCACATCACCAAACAAATATACAGACACAATCACACAGTAATCATATTCACATGCTGAATGCCAAGTGAAATTAATATTTTAACTTTGTCTATTTTACCAATAGTTATGTACAGGGTAATGAATTAAGAAAATGCTCTCAATCTACCTATCAGAAAAGGAGTTTGATTAAATGATTTTGGTTTAATGGTACCTTTAATAATATCAACATGAAACTTACAGAAAATATCAATATGTCATATTCAATGAGAATATCTGTTTTACTCACTCATTCTTGTATTACACCAAAGGCAAGTAATTATTAAAGAAGCAGCTCAGAATTACTCATTGAGCTTTCTTTCACTTTCATTTCAAGCTCATAAAGAGGGAGAATCACTTCTGTCACACATATAATTACAAACACATATATAGCTGTAGTTGGCTGATTTTGGTATTAGACATCATAGCAATGAAAATAAGTTTTTAAAAATATTGTTAGATATGATTTAAATAATAAAGTAAAAAAATACTATAAACATCTTTATGATATCTTAATGAAATGAAGTATTGATCAAATAATTTCTAATAAATTGGGCACAATATAACATATTTTATTTTACTTCACATCACCACCTCCACTAGTATCACTACCGCTACCACCACTATCATCACAACCGTTCCTGTGATAAGAATCAATATCAGCTGGTTACCAGCTATAATATTCCCACAATATGACTGTTTTAATGTGTGTGGTCCACAAAATTAATTCCACTGATATGCTGAAAATATACATTTAATTAGCGTAATTTATTAAAATATGGGTAATATTAAGGAGCAAAGACCATTGCTGCCTCTTAGTCTTAGATATTATTGTTTAAACTGAAATGGTGAATAGAGAGTTTATAGTCACCCAAAAATCTTAATCTTAAGTAAAAACAGGGAAAGCAACTTCTTGCTACTAGTGTTATCTGTGTCTGTAATGACTACTCTATAATTCCCTGTCTTTTGTAAAAATTCACTCTGTGCTTTTGCTTCTACAGATGAAAATTTCCTTAGGACAAAATTTTAAACCAAGAAGCAACTTCAGTCTCTGATGACTCAATGAAATTGTGGGAAAAATTGAGATGCTTTTTAAGGTAAAAGTGCTGTAATGTGTAATATGTGATCACATACTTTCTAGAGATTACAAACTTTGTCACTATCAAGAATAAAAAAAAGCTAATTCCAATAAAATTAAATTAAATTAAAAAGTGGAAAATTATGTGTTGTGATATATACAAAAAAGTAAGAAAAACACCAAGAGCCCTATTTGCAATTAAAAAAGAAACATTTTGTTGTAAGAAGGGTAATCAACATCATTCAGAAGAAATGCATTCATATAAGGATCAGTGTTGCATAGAATAATTCCAGTACAACCTAGGAGTTTGGTCAGCTGCAAACTTGGCACACTGGCAGGATCTTATGCTCTCTGAAGGGGAATGCTGGTGCACGAAAAGAAGCCCTGTCGTTAACTCTCTTGATTGACCTAGCCCCATCACTAGTTCCTTGGAATGGAGGGGCACCTATAATAGAAAGACTCTTACTCTTTTGGGTTAAGTAGCTACCAAGGAATGATCTTTGTTTCAGTGGTCCCTCAATTTGCATTATTCTAAATGAAATTGCAACTGGAATGAAGTAACTTGTCATACAACCTCTCATGCATACCCCTGGATGCAAGTGGCTGCAGAAGAGGACCAAAGGTAAGCCAGGGTCTTCTTTTAAGGACAAATAGCAGAGCCTTTTTATGTTAGAAGGAGATCTTCCTGGACCCTTTTCTTTCCCAATTATAAGTGATGATTATAGGCTTCCTCAAGAGCTAGCTTCTGCTGGAAATATCCATGGCAACCATCAGCAGATCTAGTAGTCTCTAAAAATAAAATCTTAGCGATATCATATCTTTGATGATTCCCCTCCCCCATGCTCATTCCAAAGCAATATCAATGGTAGATGACATTGTATTGTCAGGGAAGGGGGATAAAAAAATAGAGGGAAGAAAAGTGATGGTTATCTTCCTTAGGTTGAGGAAGAGTGAATTTGTATTTCTATATGAATATAATAAAGGTATATAGCCTGGGATATATTAGAAATTCTTTTATTTTTAGTATTTTACATTCCTCTCACATTTAAAGTATTTTTTTTCTCTAAAAATGAGAAAATTCTATATTCAACCAATACTTTGGAGATGGTTTCTTCTAATCCCACTAACACCTCACCCTTGATTAAAGCAGCAACTTCTAAGCTCAGAGTGCTCTGAGAAGCAATTTAAATCATTTATTTGGGGTAAGATATGGGAATGCGATCAGATTAGTATAATTTATTTAATTTAGAATAACAAAGCTTGCAAGTCATTTGCATTTAATTCTTCACGTGTTTTCAGGTGAAATAAAGTTTATATTTTAAATAAAAACTGAGTTTTGGAGCTCATTTACTGCTGTTATCCATGCCAATGCTTGCCATTGGTTTGGAAGATGTTTTTCACATATAAAATTTGAGAATTAAAAAGCTACATCATAATTATTCCTCATTTCTGTGTATAAAACTGTATTTTGAAATGTGCTTTCATTTTTCATAGATCTTTTCATTTGATCATCCCAACATCCCATTAGGAAGGCTAGGAATATATAATTATTTTTATTCTGCAGGTAAGAAAACTGGGGGAAAGTGAATGTAAGTGAAATTTGTAAGGTGACATGTGCAGAGACACTGGTAGAACCAAGACCAGAAGCCAGGTTTTTAATCCCAGCTTGAGTGTGTTTTCTTCAATTCTGTGTAACTTTACTTATTAATGTTGTTGGTGGATGAGAAGAGGATGCTTCATTTTCATGACTTAGACATTGGTTGTTTTATTCTATATTGTTAAGATAGCTCAAAGTATATTTTAACCTCAATAAATGTTGATTTTTCACATATTTTCCCAACATTGATGAACTCGATCACTGTGATATTGTCACTAAAGGAGAAAAATAAAGCACTAGAGAGAACTTGAGTTGGTGTCAGAGTTTTCATTATACAATCAATTAATGACTTAAGGGAAAAAAATCATTATGGAAAAGCAGGAAATGACAGCAATTTAATAAATCAATGTCACAAGATTAACATGATTTGTCAGAAGGAGTATTTTCTCTCTCTGTCAAGACGTCACTCAAGAGAAAGAAAATATGCAGGATAATGCGTTTATTTGCAATCCCACAAAGAACAAGATATCATGCTTCCTAGAACATACCAATTTAATCTAGGTCCTTTGGTATATAAACTGAAAATGCCTTAACTTAATGGTAAGTGATAGAGATTTTGATGTTTTCAACCAGAGTTCCAATATTTTGTGGGGCAACATTCTTCTTTGTTAACCACTCATGGTTTTTTTTTTTTTTTCTAGATAAGTGTAATTTCATTTCTACATATTTTTATTTTCACTCTACATTATTTTGAATTACACTGTAACAAGTGTGCTTTTACCACATGGATTCCAAAATTGGTACACCCTTATAACATTTAGACATAGAGAAAACCTGTACAATATGGTCTAAGAGCTATAATTTCTCCTGTTTCATTTTCCTTATAAACACAGCTACTTCAGTTCCAGTCCTGGACACATTGTAAATGTATCTTGTGTCAGAATCTCAAAACAGTCAATTGAGAATATAAGATGAAGAAAAAGTTTTGAACTTTTGAAAACATATTTGTTACATTAGTTCTTTCATTTCAACTAAGTTTCTTTGCTTAAAGGATTGCCTTTGTGCTGCAATGGAAATAATATTAATCTTTGAACCTCTGTCTTTAGCTACAGCTCAACTCTGCTCAAAGATTTTTGCCTTAAGTAATCAAAAATTCTCTCACAGTTACTCTTGACAGCCACGAGAAATCCGAGGTCTCAGAGCTCTCTCTTTCTCTCTGTTTTTCTTACTTTTTTTTTTTTGTCAATATGTGAACTTTTTCCTTTGAGTCTTTTTCTGTGTTCCACAGAAATAAATTTACAAGGCTTTAAGCATGTTTTTGCCCGTTTTCCCCCTCCTCAAGTTTCACCTGAAAGCATAGCTTAGCACGACAGTATCCAACTATAGTATTGATTTGAGGTTACTTAGAGCAGTTTCTGTACCCTGAGCAGACATGTTTCTTCAATGCGTTTGAGTAGGACTGACCAAAAGTTTGTGCCAGTTGACTATTCTTTTTCTGAGATCCACTTTATCAAGCCAGATACAGGCTTCACCAATCAAGGTCTTTTTCATAAACTTCCCTCCATTGGAGAAAAGTAAAATCTAGAAAAAATAGCCAAAATTATATATATATATATATATATGTGTGTGTGTGTGTGTGTGTGTATACATATATTTTTCTATCTCTTTTAAGGACATTTAATCATCAAAGAGATAAGAGAGGATGAGAGGAAGTAGCAAGCATCCTTATAAGAGAATAACCAAGATATCCTCAAAAGACTTTCATGATATAAATTAACTCACATCAACATTTTTATTATTCCTCAAAGAAAAAGGTACACCCTGAAGGACATGAGAATATTGGATAAGAAAAGAAATGTACAACCAGCTAATTCTAACTATGTTCATAGTTAAACTGATAGAAAGCATCACAAAATAACTTTGTTCAGTACATTTTTACCAGTTTATGAAATACTAAATCAGATACAAAATTATTTGTATTCTGAATAAATAAATAGGAGTTCACAAGGCAAGTAGAATGTAGCATTGGTTTTATTTAGTATTTAATTTATTGGTGATTTTACTATAGTGAGTACTTCCTAAACGGATTCTTAAGTCACATGTAGAACTTGTATTATTCCACAGGCTCTCAGACTAAAGAGACTTTTTTCCTTTAGAGATGAGTCAAAAGAAATGTCGAGAGCATCATGTGGAACTAGCCATTCATCCTTGGTGATTCCCCACTCCTGCCCCCACCTTTCTCTTCAAAATCTTCTTCAGATAACTCACCTTTATTCCTGGCTAAAACTTTACTGTTACATTTCTGACTTCACAATCTGTATTTCCAGATATGGCTACCTCTTCTGGTTTCAGATTTTGGGATTTTAGATGACATTGTATATTTTTTACTTGAATACCTACCTTCTTATGAAATTCACTTTATACAAACTCATGATCTTTCTCCCTCCCAGCTCCTCTCTCTGACTACTTAATCTCTATAAATGAAACATTTGTTTACACAGCCTTCAGAGTCTCTAATTTTTTATTCCCTTCTACTCTAATGTTAATCATCTCAACAAATTTTTGCTTTATAATATCTCATATTTATTTCTAGTGCAAACCCTTATTTATAGTGACAGTACCATGGTCTCCTCCCATATTTTTTCATCTCTCCCATTTCTTCTTTCATTCCTGTTTCTATATCTACTGAGGATATACTTGTGCAAAGCATTGTGCTAAACTGTAGGACAACGAGCAATGAAAATCAGGCTTTGACCTAGAGAAGCTCATGGTATAGAAGCAGTGACAGACAAGTATATAAGTTATTGTACAAAACAGACTGGAAGAGACAGTGTAATACAACAAGCAAAATATTTTGTAAACAAGGTGATGAATTACACCTAGAGTCATCAGCAAGGGCACTAAGTTTGTACTGAAAGGTGTAGAGTATTGTGACAGATGGAGAGAGAAGGGAGCTTTGAAGAAGAGGAAAAATACGAGCAAAGGATTGGAGATTTACTCTGATTTGAAAACATTCTAGTGTAACTGGAGCATTGAATGAACAAAAAAGTACACAAGGAGCTGACACTATATCAAAACAATTAAAACTCACCTTGGAGAACTCAGAATGATTCAAGATAATGGTGTGTCATTGAAGGGCTTCAATGTACCTAACCAGTGTTTTTAAAAGATAACTCTGGCAACAGTGTGATGAAATGAATTAAAGGGATAGGACATTAAGACAGGTTTGTCCAGGTAAGCAGCAGAAATGATTTGATTAACAAAGATGAGGGCCCAAAGAGGATTAGTGGCAGTGAGTGTGGAAGTAAGAGAAATCTACGTAAAATAAACTGAGCAGACAGAGTAGAAAAGACTTGCAGCTGATTGGAGGGTGTGAGTAGGTTGTAGATTCTAAAAGTCTCCTGGGGAGACACCTCTAGTGATTAATTAACTTCTTAAATGTCATATAGAATATAATCAGTATACAAATATTGAATAGTTGAATAAAAATATAAATATAATACAGATAAAAAATTTAAAATAATAACTGTATAATGCAGAGTTACCTGAAGAGAATGTCCAGCAGGACTCAGGCTGAATCTAAAAGTTTCATTGAATGAAGGTTCTCGATCATGTCTACATACTCTTGTTTTTTTCTTGATCACTTTTTTTTGGGTAGCGATATTCATCACATATATTTTCACATATAGATCTGGAAATAAGAATTCAGCCTGTAAAGTGTCCATCAATCATACAATACTCTATTGAAAGAATTATAATTGTATAATTGTATAATTCAGAGAGTTATCACTACATTTTGTACAAAGGCAGCAGATTATATACAATTTGTTTCAGGCAACATAAAGTGATTAAAAGATATACAAATCTTCTTAGTAATTTAAATTTGGTTTCCTGCTGTCTAATAAAAACATCACTCTAGATGTTGGAAACAACTTGTTTTATATAAGAGAAATTAATCTTTTTTTTTTTTTTCCTTTTTTGTGTCCGGCAACGGATCGCAACCCTCAGTGTCGCGCCCGTACTGGACCGGGACCGGCAACGGGATCGCAACCCTCGGCGTTGCGCCCG